CTCAAAACTCTTATTTTGTTTTCTATTCCATTAAAGATCTCTTCTCAATAGAGTTTAAACCATTCGAACTACCTCTTCTAATAGATAAGATCCGCAAACGATGGTGCTTTTGAACAGTCATTGCAACTCAAAGTAAGTTGATAAAGAACTTCGTTCGAGAACATATTTTTATGTAAACATTCGATCGTTTTATCTACGTCTCTTCCGTTTCAAAAAATCTTCCAAAAAACACCCTAATCAGATCGGTCAACTCATGTGCCTTTCCTACAGCTATGACGTTCATACTTCTACGAATAAGATTTCGCTCATTTACCTTCTGTTACGTACAATGTACATAGCTCCACTCAGCATGATCTTGAAGAGATTTGGTTTTCAATCATTATCTTTTTATGGATGAAATAAATATTATCACATTTCAACAATTAAGAATTCAAAGATGATAATTTAGAATATCTGCAGATGGACAATTTTGAACAGCAGCAATTAGTCAATTTTAAGCGATTGGAATTACTTAAGAGAAAGGCAGGTAAGAAGTATAGAAGAGGGCTTACAAGAGAATATTCTTTTTCAACGAAAACCAGTAATAGAACCAAAATTATATCACAAATAGGCAAACACCCCCAGCTCTGTGGATGACTCTTCACCACTTTACAAATCATAGCATCAAAATTCAAATTCGAACATTGATATAAGGTCGGGACGCAAGCAAGAGCTCTGAAGAAGAGAATTATATCCGTCCTTAAACAAGTCACATGCATGGAACGAGTTCGTTCTTCAAGGAATATACGTTCTAAGTACACTCAAAGTAAGAACCAATTAATAACGGCAAACGCAGAACAAACAACAATGAAACAGCGTCGCAATACAACCCAACCACGCACATTGACGAGCGCTACTGTTGCGAATCTCGACCTACCACAAGTCAATCTTCGTCGTCCAAATTCAAATCATCGAGATTAATGTCGTTGCCGCCGTCCTCGGCATCTCCAAAGTCGTCGTCTGACCACCGTACCTCTCCTGCGTCTACAACCACCTAAAACAACATAATAAGGACGTAAAATTTCAAAAAGAGCAAGCAACCTAGCGAAATCTCACAAAAGAGAACGAAAAGCCTCTTAAATATGCTCTTAAGGTACCTCAGGTTGTGCAGCTCGTTGTGATGTTGTGGATGGGAGTAAATCAGGGCCTCCTTGACGTGGTACAACATCAGGTCGCGGTCGCTCGCTAACCACATCCGGCTCAGCATGCGCTTGAGGTGGTGCTACGACTTCTCGTGAAAGTCCATCGCTGTCGTCATCAGACAACTAAAATCGGAAAGCTTATCATCTCTTTCTCTAAAACTAAGTCATGGTAAATTTGAGAACGTTATGGGTGGGGATGCCTAAGGCAAAACTCAAACAATGTAGTGAGAAGGGGGCGATAGCTTGCTCAAATTGCAAAAATTAGAGGGTTTTTTT